TTGCCTTGAAAATTCCACAGTGGTCCACGGGACAGAATGAAGCTTTGCTCCACCAGCCCAACACACAGCTTGCTTACCCAGAGGAATGCAGCCAGCAGTGCTTTGGTGCTTCTTATGCCCCACAGAAGCCTTCTAGGCCCTGCCACAGCCTCAGTAGTCCTACCAGCTCTGCAGGATAGCAGTCTCAGCCCATTGCCCGCTGCATCCCCCCCCCACCCCATGCTCCTTGCACATCCCTGAGGGAACACACTGCCCAGCTCAGCAGCACTGAATCATCACCAGCCATGGCTGCCCACCCCAGCTGGAGACTGCAGGGCCAGGCCTTGTGCAGGCGTGCTGCTGTGTTCAGCCACCATGATGTCACTGCCAGCTGAATCAAGCCCCTCTACAGTCCTCCCAAAACCCCCACGTTCCCTAATTTTGAAGAGCAGGAATATAAGCCTTGTAAATCAGCAAATCTGGCCCTGAACGCATCCAAAACTCATGATCAAATGCTTCAGAGTATTTAAGATCCAGGCAACATCATTCTCCAAAGGGCTCCTTCATTTAAGTCAGTGAAAAGGTAGAAACTTGTACTGCAGAACAACAGAGGCCTTGGAAATCTGTGCGAGGAAAGACAACACAAAATGGAGACACCAACAAACAGTCTCCTCAGGACAAGCAAGAATGAGAACAGCCTCCATTTTCTGTACTTGGTGCTTAAGATGACCCCCATCTGATCCACAGATGAAAACTCCACAGCCCATGATGTACCAACTCCAGAAGAAACAGCTGTGCCTGTCCACCAGCTCTCAGCCCTGAGGTACCCACAGCACTGTGGCCGGAGACTGCAGGCCCAGTGTAGGCATGAGTCTGGCACACAGCACTGGGGCTGACAGCCTGATATCCATATCATCAGCATACAGTTATGGGCTTTCTTTGGGCTAACTGCAGCATGGCTCTGCAGACAGTCAGTGTGATCTTGTAGAGCATCTTCCATTTTGGTCTCCTGCACAATGCATCCAGCCTGTGCACTCTGAGACCACCCCATGATGTAACCCAAAGCAGAATATGTGGGAACAACAAGAAGGTTTGCTCTGGAGAGCATTCTCCATCTGAACCAAGCTGGTAACAGCAGCACATCCACCTTATCCCTCTGACCTGGGCACACAAATGGAAGAGGAGAAGGGGCAAGTACAGGACAGAGTCACAGCACTACTGTTCACCATAATTAGTACAAGCAGCCCAAGAAGCTCCAGGCATTCTGATGCCCTGCAGAATAAGTGCCCACTGCTCTCCCCACTACTGCCAACCCATGTACTTCCCTCCACCACACAGTACAGGAGGCACAAGTAAGAGCACAGAGGGCAGGGTCCAACCTCATCTCTCAGTCAGCCCATCCTCCACGAGAAGACAGCAGTTGTGTGGACTGACATGCAGCCCAGGCAGCTCCAGCCAAGAACTACTGCTAGAAAGATAGGAAACTGTTATTGTAAAAGCAAGAGGTGATGGTCATGCTACAGCAAGGGGCTTGTGATGTTATAACACAACGGAAAGCACAGCAATGGAAGCGTAGTAGTGAAGCCCTAACCTGCACCAAGCAAGGATATGCTCAAATGCAGCAGCTGTAGACACAGTAACACAGGAAAGAATCTACTTACCCTTTGAAGGCCTCAGGAATGCAGGAACCCCCAGAAAAATACCCTTTCCTCCCCTGCCAACTTTTAAATGAGGTCTGGGAAGAGGTGGATCCTGGCTCCACTCCTTCTGGGTACTCAGATGCATTGCATGCACCTGAGCTCCCCTGGGTTGGTCCTGCCTTCCCACCAGGTGCTCAATCACTGATTCAGGCTATGACTTAGCATTTCTGTTACAGGGCTCCAGAGTGGTTTCACCACCAGCATGTGAGGTACGGCCATATCTCTAATAGCAAGTATGACATAGCTTGGGCATCCCTCTCCAAGACCAGCACTCAACCCGCTTCTGTGAGATAACATCTGTAGGGTTGAGATGCCTGCGGGTAAGAGAGCATAAGGGTTAGTTTTAAGAAGCCAGTAGTACCTAGTCTGAAGCATTACTGCAGGCATAGGAGCAGATAACCCAGGGGTTAGACAACTGTCATAAGAATCATTCTCAAGTAAGGCCCACATGAAAACAAAAGTGTCAATTTACAAAATCCAAACCAAGCAGCAGTTGCAGAAATTTATGGGACTTGTCCATAAAGAACAGCAAAGATCCCAACGCCTCCACTGATCTGGCACTTTCAGCCTGTAGCTGACCCATGCACCAAAATCTGATGCTCTGACTTACGCAGTTCTCCAGCTGTGGTCCCATTCGTGTTTCCTAAGTTGTGAGGGAGGGAGCATTTGGGATGACATGCTCACACTTTCTCTTCTAACCTAACACAGTCTTTGGGGCTTTTCTGTATTCCTGGCTCCTCTCCTCTTTCCATCTGGTGCTGTCCTGGGACAGCCCACACCACCAGATACAAAAGGTTTCTCTTTTCCATTGTACTGCTGTCTGCCTGCTTAAGCCTGTGTGTGGTCAGTGCCCTCAGCAATGCTTCAACAGGGCAGCTGCAGTGAGAAATGTGTTGAGCTGAAGCAGGAGAGGAAACGGTGGTCAGGCAAGGGGCATAAATATTTAAGAAAATGCATCAAAGCTATGGAATGAGGATGAAAGGGATTAATGTTTGTTTTCAGAGATGTGCAAAACTCAACTAGCCATGTCTCTGGCTTTATGGGAAGAACAGAGACAGGAAGATAAAAGCAAACACTTGTGACAGGGAAGGTGGTGCAAAACCAGGATAGTGCCGAGCAGGAATGTTTTGAGTGCCACGAAAACAGCAGGGCCATGCCGAGCAGCCAGATGCCCAAGGAGTGTTATTTTTGGACAGCACAACTGACTTGGAGGGAAGTGTGACATTTACTGAGTCACCTCCACCACTTCCTGCAACACCTGGAGCTGACTCTAAAAGCTCTCATTTAGATACTGAGAACTCACTCACTGCTCAGGCTCAAAATAACACAGTTTACTTTCATTTTTTTTTTCTGCAAAGCTCTGCTGAAACCACGACGTGTGATGCAACAGCCTCCGGTGCAGATCCCACCGCCATGTGCTTTTCACTATGAAAAAGTGATTTAACAGTCATCAGTCATCTGTGGCTTCTCCAGGAGGTAATCAGTGACATCTTACTGCGTCCTCCCTGGATCCAGCAACCAACTGTAAGAATTTCTATTTCAAAGCAGCCTGAACTGTGCTGCATCTTGAGCCTGGATTGAGCTTTTCTCCGTTTCCTCTGACTGCAGTGAGCTGCAGCCTCTTCCAACCCAAGCACATGCAGCATTGCTGCAGCACGGGCTGAAGCTGTTTTGAAGGACGGCACTGAACCTCTCCACCTCAGTGAAGGGTCACTTATTTCTCCAGAGTCCTGCCTGCCCCTGCCAGAGCCTTCCAAATTTGACCAACATCTTCAAAGAGAAAGAAATTAAAAGAAAAGCCAATTTGAGTTCATATATATATGGTTTCAGATTTAGTATATTCTTAGACATTTTCTTACACATATTCTTATACATCCAAAATTATACATCCTTCTTATACATCCATGATAAATAGTGCCCTGGGCAACCTGATCTGATGCTTGCAGCAGTGGTTGGCAACCCTGCCGGTGACAAGGGATAGAGACTGGATGATCTTTGAGGTCCCTTTCAACCCTAGCCATTCTATGATTCTATGATTTCTTCTGCTTTTGAATATTCCCCTTGCTAGAGCTGTAAAACTCCAATGGATTCAGAGAGTATGAAACCACTGAGGCTTTAATCCTCCCACTCCTGTTTTGCTGTTTAGTCTATTAATGAGAAAAGGACAGATTGTGTCCTTTTCACATTAATACCACCTTGGTATTATAGAAATTGCACAACATTTCACATAAATCCAGAAACATTTTCAGTGCTTCTGTCAAAAGCCAAAGCTGAATAACAACCATTTTGGCCTTACAAAGGTGTAATCGTTCATTAAGAGCAGTTCTGGTCACAGAGAATTCGCCACTTAAGCCCAAGTGCCTTCATTGTCAGGGCAGCTATTGAAACAACTGCTTGGACAGGATATGACATGAATGTTTAGTCTGTGTGGAAAAAGAAGAAAAAAAAAACCAACATTGAATCCTAGCTTCCGGAAAACAGCCAAGAGCTTTTTTCACTGCGTAGAAATGTCAAAGGTGAGGAAAGACCAGGCTTCCTCTAAGCAGAATGTCTCCTCGTGCACCACCCACCTGTGGAAGCAATGCGTGCAGGACTCTGGCTGCAGAGCCAGACAAGCATCCTGCTAGCTTTCCTGCACCACCAGTGATGGATCTCACATGCCATTTCCAAGTTCACCTCTCCCTGACTTTGTCTGCCCTAGGTCCTGGATCCTGCCCATGGGGAGCTGCTTGGATGCTAAATCAAGGGTATTTTTTCATTTTTTGTTTTTGCAGTAGAGGGTTTGAGATCCACCTCCATTAAGCCAGAGTGTGAGAAGTTGGCCAGCCAACTGAGAGAAGTGTTCCAGTGGAAACTGGACAACAGGAATCCTTCCTCAGAAATGAGCGCTTAGGTTCTGAGGGTGCAAAATTTTACAGATAGTAAGTGAGGCTTGGCGATGGAAATGTGGAGAAAGGACAAAAACTACTCCTTTCGTATGAAATATGCAATTATCTCATGGGCAATTCCACTTGAGAGTTAAGCAGGAATAAAGGCCTGGGACTGACGAGAGCCGCAGAACCATGCTGCTCAGCCAATGCATTCTGATCACAACCCCCAGGGACCTGCTGAGGAGTGGCTCTGCAGCACTCATTGCAGTGCCATGAGAGATGAGTACACACCGTGTGAAGAGCAAACCCACTGGTGTGGAGACTTCATAAAAGCTCCAGCTGCATGAAGGAGCTCCCTGCAGAATCTAAATTTGAGTGGAGACTTCAGTTGTTTTCAATCTCCTGCTTGTTTCTTTCATCTGGGATATTGACTAAAAGGTGCAGAGAAATGTAGCACGGACAATAAGTGGTCTATTTTTAAAAAATATCATTGCTGTGTGGAATCTCCAGGTGTTTGGAGGTTTCAGACAGGTGCACCACTGGACATTCAGTGCTGAAAAATGAGGTTGGACGGAAGACAACAAAATGATCTTCTTTCCAGCTGGACTTACTTTACAGCCTGTCAGTCTGCCACCCTAAATGAGAGAGAGAAAAAAACATTTGTGATGTGGACCTGAGTTGAGATTTTCTGATCGACACTTTTTTTTTTCACTCTTGCTGCTGGTAAGCCTGGGAATTTTTTTCAGCGAGCCCTTGAAAACCCAGTTTGAGTTGTGAGGCTCAAGGTGAGAACTGTGAAGCATACTTGTGCTTCCTTTATTGTGGGCTTTGCTGGAAGAAGAGGCAAGCTGAACTTACACTGCAAGATGAGGTTGATCACTGGGGAGATGCAGAGGCAAGAAAGAAGAGAGTCTCTCAAGGAGCCTGCAGTGGGGCTATGGGGCCAAGTCTGGGTGCTCCAAATGGAAACCTCCCATGCTGGTAGGGAGCAGGATCCTGTGCACCACAGTGTTCTTCACAGAACTGCAAGAAATGATAATTTATAGTGAATCCTTCCTGATTAAAGAGCACAAAGCTCTGCAGTTAATCAAGCTGATTAAACGAATCAAACTTGTTAAGAATGGTTTTATCAAAACATTTACATTTCTGTAGAGCAGAGATTCATGTGTCTTTGCATTGCAAAGTACACAGGTTGCCATGAGAGGACTAGGAAGAGGACAGGGAACATTAACCATGTGAAACACCAAGCCTCCTCCGCTGCCTCTCCCAGCATTCATTTAAACAAAGGAACTCCCTAGGCCATTAATTTTGTTACCCTGCAGGGTATCCTTTACCTTCTGGAAACAGAGACCTCACTGTCCACAGCAAGAGGCCTTCCTGACTTATGGGTACTTCATCTCCAGGCCAAAGTGCTGGAGGAGGTCCTGAGAGAGAAGAACCCTTTCCTGACCCATGATGTCCCTCCATGGCATGCATCCTGGTGGAGCAGTGGCCTCTCCCCTCAGGTCTGAGACTGTCTAAAGAAAAAATAACAACACAAACTTTTTCATAGCTTCAGTCCCAGTGGAGATAGGTCCAGTTAAGGTCTTGGTTGCCTAACTTCTAAGTTTAGCCACTCAAACCTCAGCTGTAACTCTAGAGATATATACTGCTGTGGAGCACCAAAACTACAGTTCCTCTGACACATTACATGCTTCAGAGCAGGAGTGGTGAGGTCCCATGTACCCACACTGCTCCAGGGTGCTCCACCAATGCATCTCCCATAAGCTACCTCTGATAGGGCTGAGCTGCCCATGCTGTGCACAGGCAGACCAAGCCGTGAGGGCTCGCCACAGGCTGAGCAAGCATCCAGAGTTTTCTGATGGAGAGAGAAAGGCATCTCTCACATCTATTTTAGGATCAGGTGAATAATCTGTGGAGGTAGGTGGCTGCCTCCTGACTGGAGAGCAAGTCATGGCGAAGGGACTTGGGCTGAACACCTCACTTCTAGGCAGCAACAATACAGCAGTGCTCCCATACTCCCAGTGACACAGATACTGGTGGGCAACAAGCTGAGTCCAGGAGTTACAGCCACAGCAATATCCGGCACATTGAGGACTTGAACAGAGAGACCACAGTAGCCAGACTAAAGCAGCAACGGGAAAGTGCTTCCTTTTTCTCCTTAAGAGCATGTTCCAAGGGAAGATCTGCACATTCAGCATCTTACAGCCAGTTCTGCTTAGGCAAAGACAAACTTGGCATGGGCACTCTATCTTCCTTGCCATATGCTCTATTCGTTCGAGAGTTGTTTTTCCTGCAGGGGAGGGTGGATTGGCAGGTATGGAAAGATATTCATTAAAATAACTTCGGCTGTTTCCTTGTGCTGGAAACAGTTTGATTTTTACCATCTCCAGTTTGATTTTTAATTCTCATGCTCAGAACAAGCCTGGAACAAAGACATTTCTCTGGGAGCATGACAGGTACTTTCAGAAGGAGTGTCTGAAAGGCCACACTCCCCATGCAGCAGCTCAAGGTGGCATATTTCTAAAGAGAGTGGTAGAAACCAAGAGCCTGATAACAAAAGTCACACACATTATGAAAGCAAACATATTGACATGCAGTGCAACAAGCTGGGCTTCCATAAAGTACCTTATCTGCTTCTGTGCAAACCACTTGCCTGGTTTTCAAACAACAGGTTTCTTGGAGAATGCGTGAACTAAATTACCTATTGCATTTTGCACCGCTTGTCAGATGAATGAGATCCTTTTCAGTGGAAGGACAGACATTTGACTATTTTAGGTTCAAGGATTCTGACCAAATTTCTTCCCAAAAGTGGCTGGAGTTGAATAGCCAGAGAAAATGTATGCACTTAATGGGGCTTAAAGGCTGCAGGGAACTGCACAGAGATGGACAGAAGCCTGAGGGGCAGCAACAATCTCCAGGACCAGGACTTAATGCTCAGAGAAAGTGCCAGAGCTGCTGATAGCAGCCATTGTGAATGTACATGCACGTTCTGCTCTTTAAATGTACGTGTTATTTTCAGTTAAAAAGAAGCTCGCATTCATTGTCAGATTTCTATGACTGTTCTGCACCAAATGGCTTCCAGGTCTCTCCATAGGCTCTAGCTCATTTTCATTCACCTCTGCAAACAAAGCTTTGAAGGATTCAGATCTCAAAAAGAAAACTCAGCATGGCAGCCACAGGAAAACTGGGTAGATCAGATATTTCCTGCAGTTTCGGAGCAGCTCCCAGTCCCCTGCTTAGGGCAACACAACAGGAGCTGCCTGGAGACCCCGTGCCTCTGTCTTTCCCTGCCTGGGATGCCAGGTCCTCCTGTCAGCCCGCTGTGTGCAACTCACCGCTGTGTTCAGTGCAGCTGTATGTGGGAAGGAATTGTTTCCCAGGATGATGGAATACAAACCTACAAAGCATTTCTTTTTACAAAAGGGTTCTTTTGGATTTAGTAATGAGGAAGGGAAGAATGACTGAGCTGTATATTCTTGTTATGATTTTAGACTCATAAATGATCCTTCTGAGATGGGGGATTGAGAAGGAGAACAGCATCCAAAAAGCTCCCACCTGGAACATGGGCAATGCAATGAAACGTATTTGGAGAAATCTCTGAACAGAGAAAACAACTGCAGGCACTTGCATGCCAAAGAAGACATTGGCAAACTGGGCAGCATTCAGCAAAGAATAACAACAGAATCACTAAGTAATGAAATAACTAAATATTAACATTATAGTATTTGTTATGATTTATAATATTTATTATAAATAATAAATAACTAAATATTACAGGTTGAGTAAATAAATCCCATAGAGGGTGATAAAATCATTTGATGTTGTCACCTCGAAGGGGAGCATCCCTGTCATGTAGCGAGCATCTGGGTGCCCTTAGGAGCAGAAGTGGGCTCCGTCCATGAGAGGGGCTTACCAGGGATCAGCGGTGGGTGGAAGAGGTCCTCCTTCAAGAAGGGCCACTATTCAGGGGCTGGTCTTCTGGAAGAAGCTCCCAGCAATAGCTTAAGACACGTGTTTCAAATTCTTCCCTTTACTTTTCCCACAGATGCAAAGGAAAGAGAAATCCCACATTTCTCTTCATGCTTTACCGTGGCTTGCCAGTACCAATCAGCTACCCAAAGGCACAGAGGCAGGATGCTATGAGCACACGTACTCCTTCCTTCTGGATCCATCCACAGAGCCTAAGTTTGCCATTCTGCCACCTGAGCACTGCCTGCAGTGAGAGTTGCATAACGCCTCCATTAATGACTGCTTTCCCTTACTTAGAGCTCTGCCAAAGCTCAACTGCTCATGCTGAGAAACTCTGTGCTGGAAGTGTGCCTCAGGCAGGCTCTTTTGGTAATTTTAAGCTAAAATAATTCAACTGTCTCCCAGAATAAGATTAGCAAGATATATGTTAGCTTGTTCTGTTCAAATAGAGAGATTAAGTGCCTCAGTCTTCAGAGACCGGCACTGACACTTAGCCAGGCAACCGGAATCTGCCTTTGTGACTGTCGGAAGCTTTCCCACCTGTGGCCAAGTTCAACCCATACTGCCATAGCACTAACATCTTCTTCTGACACTGTGGGCCAGCAAAACAAAATAGGAGGCACTATTTTTGGCATTCGATCCTGCAGCTAAAAGCAGCTCTATCACAATGGCTATGCAAACGGGAGCTGTGCTCAGATGGCAAGGGCAATTTTAAATCAAGTATTTCCTAACTACTGAGTGCCTGATCCCACAGACTTCCCATACTTTCAACCTGCTTTGGGTTTGTGTTATTTCCTCGATTTACAGGCAGCGAACTGAAATAAAGCTGCAGGAATGCCGTGATGCGTCCCAGCAGCCATGGGACTCACCAGCAGCACTGGCTCTTGTTTTCCCATGTTAATTCCACAGTGCTTGAAAAGCAGATGAACTGAATGCTGACAAACCATCAGTCTCTGCTGAGGGAGCAGGCAGGAACGAGTTGCAGCCCTTGTCAGTGGGTTCCCCAAATATTTGCTGACAACAGAGAACTCCCACATGGCAGAAACCCCCAGGGCTGTTGCATCTCTTCTCAGCTGGAAGCATGGTATTCTGAGAGCATCTCCACCCTCTGCTCCAGCACTGCAGCATCCCTGTCAGTGTGGAAAAACAAATTCAAAGAGCTGCCGCTCCACACCTGCAGCGCGAGGCTGCAGCACTTCTCCCAGCCTCTCGTCAGTGATTCAGCTGCCAGACCTGAACAAGTCTCCACTGAGCAGGTGCCTTCAGAGAATCCAGCCTCTGCCTTCTCTCAAGAAGTTTCTCTTGAGTGCCTGGGATCTGAGGCTGTTGTTTTTTTTTTTTTTCTAAGGTTTCTTAGCTCAACCTCTTTTTCCCTGTGAAGAACAACCAAAGGCAAATTCCAGATATTTGCCAAATCTCAGGTCTCTGCTCCAAAGGCAGAAAGTGCTGGAATTTCTCAACTGATCAATTTTAGAACGTTTGAATATGAAGAAAAAAGATTGTTCCTCTCATCTCTTTCTTATAAGCAAGCAAAAATATTTTTGCTGAAGCTTCCCAAACAGATTCAGCTGAGGACAGATACTCAGAGCAGAACATGTCAACTCAGCAGTAAGCTGTTGGGGTTCCCAGGGGCTGGAGGCGAAGAAACAATTGGTCTTAAAACAAGAAACAATGGGCCTTGAAAATAGAGACGCCACAGTCATCAGACACATGCAATTTAAACAGAACTTCTGTTGAGCCAGGAGCAGAAAGAGCAGCACAGGTGCAGTGGATATGCTCTATGCAAGGAGGCCATGTACATGGTTTCATGCAAAAACAAACAAACAAACAAAAAAATCAAGCCTCCTTACTCTTTTCTACTCTCTAACTCCTCTCTGCATTGCTTCTACTATTCTCTTTCCATTCTGTCCCTTCCTATCTCACACCCATTTCCCCTCCTTTGGAGTAGGATCATCACAGCCCCACATGCTGATGGCGGGTGTGCAAGGCAAGGGCTGCAGCAGTGCCTCCCCGAGCCCAGCCAGCAGCCTTGTGCCCCTTCCTCCCCTTGAGAGGTTCACACGGTTTGGTAAGCAAGCTTCCTGCCTCCTGCCCAGTCAGCTCTCTATTCATAGGCAAACTGCACTCCTCTGTTTGGCTCCCAGAGAAGATTAAGTATAAAAAGCTCTGAAAGTCTTGCTGCTGAGCCAGCAGGAAACTCAAACTGCTCAGAGCATGGGAACCAATAGAACTGCAATGGCTAGCACAACAGGTATTGTTTGGGAGGAAATCCCTGCAGCAGGCACAGCTGCCTACACACACACACACACATACATACATAACACATAGCACATATTGTTTATTTATGTGTATGCACAGTAAGGGTATGGAAAAGGAGAAGGCTGGGGAAGGGCCAGTGGGTTGAATTGGGTTGATCAGCAGTATTCAAGAAAGACTAAGAGAACTGCTCAGCCTAGCCAAACAGCTGCTTTATTACCCAAATAACTGATCTGTTCACGTCCGCACCATTTGGGACCTCATAGAATTGTAGGATCATTAAGGTTGGAAAAGACCACTAAGACCATCAAGTCCAACCTCTAACTCACCACCACCATGCCCACTAACCATGTCCCTCAGTGCCACATCTCCATGTTTTTTGAACATCTCCAGGGATGGTGACTCCACCACCTCCCTGCGCAGCCAATACCTCACTGCTGTTCCTGAGAATGTATCCTAACATCC